TTAATAGTTAATATATTTTAATTTTATACATCCTCATTTTGTCAACTTGCTATTGTAAAAGTGTTTACTATTCATTATCCAATGGAAAAAATATCACATATACCCAGAAAAAGATGTGAATATATTGATTGCTTTCTTTTCTCAGACACGATAAAAGCATACATTTTGAATTTATGAAGACTGAAAATCTTTGCTCTGAGTTTTTCCTTTGCAACTTTCTTAAGACTGTAACTGGTAGATTTGGCAATAAAACTTCTGTATCATTTAGGCTGCTTCATGGTGCAAGTAAAAGAAAACTAGACTTAAATAAGAAAAGGATTTTTTTTTTTTTTTGGTTAACAGGTCTCAAGTGGGGCTGGCTTCGAGGAGGTCTTGACCCCAGGGGTTCCTTGTGTCACTGTAACCACCCAACGAGTTCATCTTGCCCGCTGCCCAGACACAGTGGATTCATCAAGACAGAGGAACTGCAATGAAGAGTTTAATTCACACAGAGCTGGCTAAACAGGAGACCAGAGTTTTATTATTACTTAAAGCAGTCTCCTGAAAATTCAGAGACTGGGATTTTTAAAGGATAATTTGGGGAGTAGAAGACCAGGGAGTGGGGAGAATTGATTGCTCTGGTGTGACATGAAATCATAGGGAACTGAAACTGTCCTCTTGCACTAAGTCAGTTCTTGGGTGGGGGCCAAAGGACTAGATGAGCCAGTTTATCCATCTGAGTGGTGCTGGCTGATAGAGTGCGGGTCTGAAAAACGTCTCAAGCATCAATCTTGGGTTTTACAATAGTGATGTTATCCTTAGGAGCAATTGGGGAGGTTTAGAATCTTGTGGCCTCTAGTTGCATGACTCCCAAACCATAATTTCTAATCTTGTGGCTAATTTGTTAGTCCTACAAAGGCAGTCTGGTCTCCAGGCTAGAAGGGGGTTTGTTTTCAGAATGGGCTGTTATCATCTTTGTTTCAAACTTATACTATAAACTAAGTTCCTCCCAAAGTTAGTTCTGCCTATACCCAGGAATGAACAAGGACAGCTTGGAGTTTAGAAGCAAGATGGAGTTGGTGAGGTCAGATCTCTTTCACTGTCATAATTTTCTGTTGTAATTTTTGCAAAGGTGGTTTCATCACTAGGACGCTCTGTCTTCACTACAAGTCTGTGTTGTCCATGTCAAGCATTATTCATTCAAAAAGAAAGAGAGGAAGGAAAAAAAAAAGACTTCCCTTTTTCCTTAGAATCAGAAAATTAGTCTTGAATGAGATCAGTGGAATCTCTCAGTTGGAAATGAGGTCAAACTGACTTCCTTAGAGTTTTAGTAACTCAAAATACTCAAAATAGAACTGAAACATAAACTTAGATTTTACTTCACTGCTCAAGGGAGGAAGATAAATGTTAACTAAATCCCCAAGGTAAGAAAGGTAGCAAGATAAGCCACCCAAAGATCACAGAATGCCCAATCCATATACAGAATTGTGCTACTGTCATTGTTAAGAAATTTATCACCTTGTTATACAAGACCAACAGTGCTGAAATAGCTATTAAAAGAGTAGGAAGTACTAAATTTTCAAATAAATTTTAAGTTTCAAGTGAACTCTTTGAAGGTTGAACCCAGTTTTATCTTTTATATAACAGGGACCCAATAAATGTTGGTTAATGGAATAAAAATAACATCCACAGCTGGTCACCTGTTGTAAGGAAATTGTTTTCCACATTTTTCTCTAGAATTTTAAAATAACTATTACTATTAAAATGAGTCCACATGATAGATGGAAAAGGTTGACTCTGGAGTTTAAGGTTGAGTTCCACTTTTACTAGCTGTGTGATCTTGGAACAGTTTATTAGAGTCTTCTAAATTACTGTTCCTTACTGTGGATAAGAGAATTCATGTGGATTACAATCAGAATTAAAACAGATAATGTCTACGAAAAGTTCTCTATGAACTATTTAAAAAGGTAACTAATTATCACTTGAATGTATTCTGATTTAAACTGAACTGTGTTGGAATTGGCCTTGAGTGATGATTCGGTCTAGAAAGCCTATCCTCAGAACATTACCAAAAAAAAAAAAAAAAAAATCCAATTACTTACAACGATTTTTTTGAGATGGAATCTCGCTCTGTCGCCCAGGCTGGAGTGCAGTGGCGCAATCTCGGCTCACTGCAGCCTGCGCCACTGGGTTCAAGCTATTCTCCCGCCTCAGCCTCCAAGTAGCTGGAATTACAGGCTCGCACCACCACGCCCCGCTAATTTTTAAATTTTTAGTAGAGACGGGGTTTCACCATGTTGGCCAGGCTGGTCTCAAAATCCTAGCCTCAAGCAATCCACCGTCTCCACCTCCCAAACTGTTGGGATTATGGGCGTGAGCCACCCGGCCTGGCCAATGATCTTCCTAAATAGAAATCTGATCACATAACTTTCCATTACAGAGTCTAACCCTACTCTATCCCTAACCCTGCGCCTACAACATAGTCAAAACTCTAGCAAGGCAGATGACCTCAAGCAGGATTTCACCGCGTCTTTGTCACAGCACTTAACAAGCTGTGATGTATTTATTCGTCTACACAGGTCTCCCTACTAGATTCTGAGTTTCAGAAGAAAGGCCTCCAACTCGAGGTTCATGAATGGACCTGCACAAGGGGCAGGCGAGCTGTTCACCACCACGTCCTGATGTTCTGCCTTTTTTTTCCTAGCAAGCCCGTGTGCTGGGCCGTTAACGTTCATAAAAAGTCCTTGTCGAACGTTTTAAACAGCCAAGGTGTTTCAGCTTTAATAAAAGCTGAAAGTTTGGCAATACCAAACTGGTCACCAAGCCACATTCGCTTCTTGGTCTCCTTTTTGGTATCAGAGTTCGGCTGGTGGCTTCCCGTGGCCTCTGAAACAAGGACCTTATTTTGGGGAGCCATTCGAGAGATTTTTCTCATCGTTTAAAGTAGCATTCTCGCCTTGCACAGCTGAAAGTCATTTCTCGAAATCGGAGCGCCAGAAGCGACAGGAGCCACTCCAGGTCCCGGGGAAGCCGGCAGACACGCAGCGGGCTGCGTTTGCCAGCGTAGGCCTCTCCGGTCCCGCGCCGTTCTGGGCCTTCTCCGTGTTTCCGGCGCCGCCCTCGGGGTCCCTTATTGAGGGCGAGAGCCGGGTGGAGGGACAGGGCAGGAAGCAGGCGGGATCGGCCTGGGAAGAACCCGTTCTGGGACCCTCTAGAAATCCCAGACGCACCTCCCGGGTCGACATCGCCGGCCTTCGAGCCCGACGCGCTCAACGTATTTAGATAGACTCCTTCGGCTCTCCGTTTTCCTTGTCTAAGGGAGGGGTGGGACTTCCTGTTTTATCTCCGAGCGGCTTCCGGCAAGAGCTGATGGGTTAAAAACAAGACAACACATGAGCCTGCCGGCCACTCGGATAAAAAACAAGGAACTCGACCTGGATCTTACTAAACCAGTTCCAAGATTCTGTTTTTCGGCTGTGGCATCCGGCGCTGCATCCACGACGGAGTCGCCCTGGATGTCACCGGAAGTCCTTCAACGGAGAAACAGGATGTCCCGCCTCTTCCTCCCAAAGGGAAGACGGTGAGCCGGAGGAGTCAGTCAGAGGGGCGAGCAGGAGCGATTCTGTCGCCAAACAGGTAAGTTATTCTCTGGCCGGGGCGGGGGGTTTGGAGGCGGGGACCGTCCAGCGTCAGCGCGGGGCCTGGGGGCGGTGGCTTGAGGGCTTGAAGCCGGGCGGCTGGGCGCCCAGAGTCCCGTCTGGGCCCTTCGCTCTTTCTCCTCCCCCCTCCCCCCGCCTCCGCCCCTCCCTGTCGCCTTCCTTCCCGACACCCGCCCAGACTCACGCCCGGACACACACCCTCACTCGCTCGCACACGCTGCCTCGCCGCCCTCCTCCCCCCGGCCCCCGCCGCCGCCCTGCCCTCTCACCCGCTCGCACCGCAGGCCGGTCCCGCGGGCAGCCTCGCGTCGCGCCCTCGCGCGAGCGGAGCTCTCGTGGACACCTCGGGGCTGCGGATCCAGCGTGGCCTCGGTTTCCCCTGCTCGGTCCGCCTGTCCGCGCAGAAACAGCCCCCCACCCTCTCGGGATGCACCCCTGCACCGAAATCGGGCCGTTCTCGCTTGCCCAGGTTGCTCTCAAGTGGAAAATAGATGCTCCCTTAGCTGCACAGCTGCAAGGTTTAGCGTCTGGTTTCCAGCAGGGGCTCCCTGGACCGCCCGCCCACTCATGTGTCACCCCCAGGTGCCCTGGTTGCGCCGCTGCTACTCGCGCCTTCTTCCGTTAAGCGACGCTGGTGTGGGCGGGGGAGGGCACACGAGTGCGTTGGCCGAGAGCACCGCCGTGGCAGCGCAGGGTCCTAGCCACTCCCGACTTCAGTCCGCTTTGCGCCACTGCGGGGAGACCCCCGGCTGCCTGACACCGCTGCGGGCAGCAGTGGGTTTCTCAGTAGATGCTCACCTCTTCCCAGCCAGCCAGTTAGCACGCCTTGGGTGCGTGGCCTCCTTCTGGAGTTTAAGCTGGTGGAGACGGGGTGCAGTGGCCACTGACCTCTGTCGGTTGAGCTGGGGTTTCAGTAGCCCTTTTATTTCATTGGGGAATTTTGGAGTAGGACATCCCACATCCGTGGACACATATGTAGAATACTTTTATAGGTAATTACAGTCTTAATAGTGATTTGAGTTACAGCTTTGCAGTCTATGCCTGGGGACATCCTAGTCGTAGTACGTATCTGTTTTGTGGCGAGGTGCTAGTCCATTTAGAACATTGTAGACAAGGGCCCTAACATATACTCATCAGAACCCTGTTAAGAAGAGCTCATATGTCATTTGGCATACTCACTGTACTTCATGTAGTACAGCAGTCTTGTGTAGTAGGAATTATTCTCTTTTTATAAACAGACTCACTTTGCTGTATACAAAATTACTGCTACTGGCACAAGGTAAAGCTCTTTTCTTGCACGACATGTAAGGCAGGTGTGATAATTGCTCATAACACAGTTGCTACTGGTGTGTGTGTGTGTTTTTTTAAACTTTATTTTGGAATAAATTAAGATTTACAGAAAAGTTGCAAACAATAGGACAGTTCCATTGGTACCTTTTAAGCAGAGCAAAGTGGCTCCATTTCAAAAACACTGGTTCTTGCTTTATGCCAAACACCCTTCTAGGTGTTGGAAATAATAATATACTTCCGTAGAGGATTTTGAGGTCTGGTCGAAGAGACGTAAATAAATATAATACCCTTTTCTACGTACTAAAATAGAGAGATGGGAGCACAGTGGAAGTTACGGCTGATTGATGATGGAGAGTGGTGAAAGCTTCTTCTAGGATATATTATTTGAGTTAGGTCTCAAGGACTAGTGGGTATTCACCTGGTTGAAGGGACGTTTTCCCCAATATTCATTCCAATTAGGTTTGTTTTATTAGAGTAGAACTCGCTCACCTTAATAAAATAGACTCTCCTAGTTTGATTTCTTCTCTTTCTCATCTCCTTTAAGAAGGTGGTTTGTATCCCAGATAGAAGAATCCTACTTTCGAAATCCATGAATAGGCGAGTAAATTAAGCTGTGTATTTCTAATTGGTGGTTGTGACTCTCCACTGTTGTTGAGATTGGTTTTTCAGGAGTGCACTGTGGTCCTCCACTAAGCGTTTTCCTTGCTTTCCAGCTCTGATTACTGGTGAAATTAAGTAATTCGTTCAGGAAACATTGCATGCTTGCTTTGTGCCAGTCATTGCACTAGAGTAAAATGAACAAGATGGTGGAGAATATAAGCCAGCAAATGTGCATTGGCAGTGCAGTCTAATGTCATGCACACAGAGTGTCACAATGCCAGTCATGATTCTTGGTTGTCAACCGTGGCAATGGACTTGGCTGACTTAAGCAGAAAAGGAATTTATTGGAAGGCTATAGATGGCTTTCAGAATTGATGGGAAGGCCGGGGAACTGGATTCAAAAAACAGGCAGCAACCAAAAGAGGCTGGCTGGATGGGGCCACAGCCAAGGCAATATCACATAAATAGCCTACTTAGAAGTTTGCTACTGGTGACATTGCCACTGGAGAAACTGCCATGTCTGTTGCTGGACTTTTGACTCTCTTCTACCACTGAAAAATCTCTTATTGCTCCTGCATCTTTGTGACATTTTTTGCCAAGCCACTGCAGTTGCCAGGGAGCAGGGAGATGGAGAGAGATGTTCTTTATCTCTCGCAAAGACCCACACGTTAAAGGAGTCTTACTAAATAGAAGGCAGCTTGGGCTGTGGGTAGCCCTGAAAGCAAAAGTGTCCAGCATAACCACTGAACCTGGCAAGCCTAAAGAGGTTAGGGAGGAATACCAGGAGGGAATGACGATCAGAGAATGAACAGGAACTCATTGGGCAAAGAGAGAGAGTGCGGCTAGGGAATCAAGTTTCAGGTAGAAGACTTCCAAGTGTCAAAAGGTAATGTGGAACATTTCAAGAATTAAAAGTTTGGCTGGATCACGGAGTATGAGAGGAGGTGTGGAAAATAAGGCTGGAGAGGCCCTCCTGAAGAAATACAGGCAGCATAGTGACATGTACACACTTTTGCTTGTTTTAAGCCCTTCGGTTGCAGCTATGGAGACCAGTTGGCATGGCGTAAGGCTAGGGGACGGGGATCTTTCAGAGGCTGTTGCATTGGTACTAGATTAGACATCACAGAAGTCTGAATTAGGGTAGTGGCCCAGAGGTAGGGGAAGTGAGTGGATTGTACATGCTCAGTTAGTGGAGTGGGTTCGGGGATGGAGTAGGTGAGATGGACGAGTCAAGGTGGACACTGACGTGTCTGCTTTGGGTGACTGGGTGGAGCCTGGTGTTCCCTGTGTGCCGATGGAAGGTGAGCAGGTGCCCCAGTAAGATACTTCAGTGTGGGCTCGTTTCTGTGGACATGTTGAGTGGGCAGTTGTGTGGATGAGTCTGCAATCCCAGAGGACCACCAGCATCTCACTGCAGCCTTGGTTCCTTCAGTTAGTTGTGTGTGTGTGTGTGTGTGTGTGTGTGTGTCCTTCACTAGATTATAGCAAGACTGGCTTTCATGTGTATGCACCCCAAGTCTCTTGGCATGGTGTCTCACACATAGAAGGGGGTGTTAGGCCATTCTTGCATTGCCTAAAATGAAGAGATAGCCAAGGCTGGGTAATATACAAAGAAAAGAGGTATAATTGGCTCTCGGTTCTGTGGGCTCTACAGAAAGTGTGGCACTGGCATCTGCTGGGCTTTTGGTGAAGCCTCAGGAAACTCTCCACCATGGCAGAAGGCAAAGGGGGAGCCAGCATATCCCATGGCAAGAGCAGGAGCGAGAGAGTGGGGAGGTGCCACACACTTCTAAACAGCCAGGTCTCACGAGAACTCACTCACCGTCTCAGGAGAGCACCAAGCCATTCGTGAGGGCCACCCCCACCATAGTTCAGTCACCGCCCACCAGGCCCTACGTCCAACACTGAGGACATGAGATTTGGAGGGGATGCATATCCAGACTGTATCAAGGGGAATCAGTAAATATTGTGGAATTTAATGGATTGAGTACGAGTCGTTTGGAGCAGAAAGGAAGTACAAAACATGCGTCTATACAATATATGCATACATATGTGTTTATATAGCTACCTACGTATGTATCTTAACTTGCTTGCGTCACTAGTAGGGGATCCACATCTGTATATATCTATATTTTGTAGTGGAAAGACTTTTTATTCTTATCAGTATTGTGACTAGAACGTCTCCTTATGGTAATTATATGGGTAGATCATAATTGTAGTAACTCCCTGCTTACTTTATTATCTTGCAATTCCAGCTACCTGGAATAAAACCCAGAAATAGCCTTGCAAGAAGCTGATGACAGTGTAGGAGTGTAAAGGAATTACAGCCTCCCTCAATAAAGTACAATCTAGAACTTCTAGAATTGGGCACTGAAAGAACCTTTTGTGGAAGAAGGTGGAGAGAGATGATGGTCTCCAACGCTGTCTTCTTTAAGTGTCATTTTTCCTTTGGAGGATTATCACTCTTATTCATACAGCAGTTTCCAGATATAATAATCCTGGTTTAACAGTTTGTTTCTCTTGAGTATAACTGAGAAAACTGGACATTTTAAGTGTTAAGTACTTAGGGACAGTAAAAGGCAAATAAACATAGAAGTCAATGGCGGTAGCAATAATAATGTTATTGAGCTCTTTGTATAAACACTGTGCCAGGTGCGTCTGTACATAATCTCGTTTAATCCCCCCAGATCTTTGGAGGTGTATACTACATTTTACTGATTTATGGGACACTCAGATTTAGGATAAATAGCTTGTGCAAGGGGACACAGTTATTAAATGGTAGAGCCAGGATTTGGACCAAGATGGTCTGACTTCAGAACCCCTATTTTTAGTCACTAAGTTATATTATCTTCTACAATATTTTAGCATTGATTCATTCAACTTTTTTTTTTTTTTTTAGCTTCTCTTATGTCCAGTGTAGTCTGTGAGTTATTAGAGATCTCGGAAAGGGTAGGATAAACACAGTGCCCTGGTCCTGCTGGGAAACGCACATCCTGTGCTGTGTGGTACAGCCCAGGGTGCGGTAGGCTGAGTGTGTGAGGGGAGTTGGGGGCAGGGAAGAAGCCACAGGGGGACTCCTGCACTGACCCCTGAGCCTGCCCTGGTGTGTGGGGACGGGTCATTCAGGAGAGCGGTGAGGCTCCCAGGCAGCCCGGCAAAGCATCGGGCAGTGTAGCATTTGGAAGCAGCGGCCACACTGTGACGGGTCTTGAAGGCCAAGGTAATACTTGAAGCGTTTATTGTAAGGCCATTGGGGAGCCAGTGATAGGTTCATGCATTTGTTCATGTCTTAGCGTTTATTTAAAGAAAGTTGAGTCCTGCAGCACTCACTGTGCTCCACAGATGTTATGAGAGTTGCTTATAAGGAGTCTTGCTTTAATTTGGAAGAAGGTTTAGGGAGACTTCTCAGAGGAAAGGAAGTCCCCCCTGCCCTTCAGTTATTTACTTAGTTGTTTACAATTGAACATCCAATGCATGCACACCCTCAACAATTGCAGGTAGTACAGTGATGCCTCAGACTCCAGGGCTGCTCTCCAGAGACAATCACTATTAACAGTTTCTTGAGTCTTGAGTTTCCTTCTAGAAGTGCCCATTCTTTTTTTTTTGAGATGGAGTCTCACTCTGTTGCCCAGGCTGGAGTGCAGTGGCATCTCGGCTCACTGCATGCTCCGCCTCGCAGGTTCACGCTATTCTTCTGCCTCAGCCTCCCGAGTAGCTGGGATTACAGGCGCACCGTCTCCCTCGTAATTTTTTTGCATTTTTAGTGGAGACGGAGTTTCACCATGTTAGCCAGGATGGTCTTGATGTCCTGACCTCATGATCCGCCCGCCTCGGCCTCCCAAAGTGCTGGGATTACAGGCGTGAGCCACCGCGCCCGGCCAAAGTGCCCATTCTTCTAATGTGAGCAAAGCAAATGACAACGGTATCTTCTCTATGAAACAGTTCTGACAGTAAAGCCCAACCACGTAAGGCAGGCCAGGTAATCGGTGTCTGTACTGAGGACGTAGCTTAGGCTTGGGTTTCCTGGAACCTCAGTCTGTTGCTGAGACACCACTGATGCCTGTGAAACAGTAGATCCATTCCATATCTTTCTTTATTCTTAAGTGTTGGTTTTTTTTTTGGTAGTTGTTGGTTTTTGTTTTAACATTCAAGCACTGAAGAGGAGAAGTGCTCCCTGATTTGAGGCACTTTTCCAGAGGTAACCATTGTTAAGTCATTTCAGTCTTAACAGGATGTCTTGGTGAGCTTCCAGTGTTACCTCATCTATGTAATATTTTCTATTATGGATATATTAGCTTATTTAAATGTTATTAGTGGACATTAAGGATTTCTGGCCTGTGTGATTTGGTGGGTTGTAAAGCTATTTACTGCCATAAAGAACAAAGGAAAAGGGGTAAGTTTGTGGGGGAAGTTGAGTGCGTGTGACATCCAGATGGACTTAGGGGTCTGGTACCTCCAGAGCTGTTAGCTAGAGATAAACATTTAGGCGTCATGGATAGTGGATGGGAATGAAAACCATGGAAGTTCACTTGGTCACTAAGGAAGGGGGATGAAGAGATAAGAGAGGCCACCTCCTCACAAAGTACAAGGTTTGATTCCATTGTAGCTCCTTTGCTTCCTGGGATTCGGGGAATTCCATTACGTTCTTTAGACAGGTCCTTGCCTAGTTTTTCTCCTTGTTAGCTCTTGATTTGCATCCCTGTGGCAAGTTCCCTTCTCCCTATCCCAGAAGCTTCCTCATGTGCATTTGGATCCTTTGCTCGTCTGCTGTGGCCACCAGGGGTCTTAGGTTTAACTCACACTTCCAAGACCTCCCCAGGCCACACTCGCACAGTCTGGAGAAGGGGAGGAACGAGAGCCACAGCTTGCCAGCCGAAAGTGACACATCTCCTCTCGGGGGTGGTCCTTGCAACTGTCTGCACAGCTGTCCTGACACTGTCTTTCCAGGTGGCTGCTCCAGTGCAGGGACATGAGAGCCACATCATGGATGTAGGCACAGCCTTATCTTTGAAATCTCGTGCCCCATAGGGAGCCAGTATTTTTGAACGTTCCATAGGCATAGCTTGTAGGATCCTTGGCAGAGGATAATAAATAAACATAGAATTCAATGGAAGTAACAATAATAATGTTTTTGAGTTCTTTATGTAAACACTGTGCCAG